AAAAAAAAAAAAAAAAAACTATGTCCCTTAGGGCAGTGCCCATGGCTCAGTGGGTAGGACGCCAGCCATGTATACCAAGAGTGGCAGATTCCACCACAGCCCGGGCCTGCTAAACATCAATGATAACTACAACAACAGCAACAAAAAAATAGCTGGGCGTTGTGGTGGGCGCCTATAGTCCCAGCTACTTGGGAGGCTGAGGTAAGAGAATTGCTTAAGCCCAAGAGTTTGAGGTTGCTGTGACCTGTGGCACCATGACTTTCTACCCAGGGAGACAGCTTGTCACAAACTTGTCACCATGACTTTCTACCCAGGGAGACTCTGTCACAAAAAAAAAAAACAACAAAAAACATGTCCCTTAAAGGTTGTGTCTGCATTCCAAGGCTGCTGTAACGAAATTAACCATGTGGTTCAAAACAACAGAGATTGATTCCTACAGTTCTGGAGGCCAGCAGTCAAAATCAAACTAACAGCAGGGCCAGGTTTCCTCCAAGGGCTCTAGAAAGAAATCCCTGCTAGACTCTTTGAGGTTTCACTGTTCCCCAGGCATTCCTTGGCTTGTGGCAGCAGCATTTCTATCTGTCCACAATTCACGTGGTCTTTTCCACATCTCTGTGTCCTGTTCTGTTTCTTAATAAGTATACTTCTGTTGTATTTAGGGCCCATCCTTGTCCAGTGTGATCTCTTCTTGATACTTACCTTAATTATGTCTGATTATGAACTGGGGTAGGCTGGGGAGGGGTACACCATGCAACCCTACTATGGGTGGGTTCTCCCTCTCCAGGGATTTAGTTTTGAAACTTTAAAAGGATCTATATAGTGGTCCCTATGCACAGATCCTGAGGCTAGATTATCCCACAAAGCATGGGGCGCAGCCCATTTCTTTCCGCATAGTCCCAGTCTGAGTCATGAGCTTGTACATGCTGTTATTTTAAGACTTAATAAGGCATTTCAGAAGTCATTATTTGGTTCTGTTCTCAGCCTTTTTTGAATGTTATTTTAGTCTTAATGGTAACAGCTGTACATTTGTAAGGCATTCTTTTGAATAGGGATTTTGATAAGACACTGAACTGTCAGGATGGGGACATGGAAATGTGCACATGAAATTGGGCCTGCTTTTGCAGTTTTAAATAGACCATGTGTTACATGAAGCCATATTAGGCTTAAGGACCAGTATGTATTTCCTCCAAATTCTGTCAGCAGCTAAAGAGATATATTAATACAGAAAATAATATTCTCATTTCATCCCCCAAAGATGCCTGTATTCTAGGAGTACCTTTCACAATGGCACTTCATATTCAAATCTGACAGCATGGTATGGATGTTTTTCTCTTACAAACTTCACGTTGAAATTTGATCTCAGTGTTGGAGGTGGGGCCTAGTGGGAGATGTTTGGCTCCTAGGAGCCGCTCTCTCAGGAACAGATTAATGCAGTCCCTTGGGAGTAAGTGCTCACTCTTATTAGTTCCCTTGAGAGCTGGTTGTTGAAAAGATCCAGACGCCTCCCTCCCTTTCCCTCTCTCTCCTGCCTCCTCTCTCATCGTGTTGTCTTCCCACCGTGAATGGAAGCAGCCTGAGGCCCTCACCAGATACCCAGTCTGGAACTCCAGCAGCCAGATCGTGAGCCAAACAAACCTTTTTCCCTTGTAAATTCACCAGCATCAGATATTCCTTAATAGTAACATAAAACAGACTAAGACACATGGTAAGGGGCTCGCTTTATAGACATCCCAATTTGCAAGGCTATCACAGTCAGACTTAGGTAGAGCTATTTTAATCACGTGTATGGGTTACTTTTCCTTTGAGAAGATTCTTTTTAGGGATTATTGTTATATAACCTTGCTCTTGGTGGTATTCAGTGTGTGAACTTGTTCTTGAAAATGTCCTAAGGCGATGCCTGTGGCTCAGTGGGTAGGACGCCAGCCCCAAATACCGAGGGTGGCGGGTTCAAACCTGGCCGGCCAAACTGCAACTGAAAAATAGCTGGGCATTGTCATAGGTGCCTGTAGTCCCACCTACTTGTAAGACTGAGGCAGGAGAATTGCCTAGGCCCAGGAGTTGGAGGCTGCTGTGAGCTGTGTGATGCCACAGTGCTCTACTGAGGGCAATAAAGTGAAACTCTGTCTCTACAAAAAAAAAAAAAAGTCCTATCTGAATTGAAATTTTCTATATTAAAATCAATTTTCCTGGCTCTGTGCCTGTAGCTCAGGGGCTAGGATGCCAGCCACATACACCAGAGCCTGGGTTTGAACCCAGCCAGGGCCTGCCGAACAACAATGACAACTACAACAACAACAACAACAAAAATAGCTACTTGGGAGGCTGAAGCAAGAGGATCTGTTAAGCCCAAGTTTGAGGTTGCTGAGAGCTGTGACACCATGGCACTCTACTGAGGGAGATATAGTGAGACTCTGTCTCAGAAAAGAAAAAATCTCTTGTCAGTGCAGTTTTATTTTGTGTATGTGTATGCATCTGTCCTTCTGCTTGGTTTTCGTCATTTAAACATTGTACAGCCAGGCGCGGTGACTCACACCTATAATCCTAGCGCTCTGGGAGGCTGATGTGGGTAGACAGCTTAAGCTCACAGGTTGGAGACCAGCCTGAGCAAAAAAGAGAGACCCCCATCTCTACTAAAAACAGAAAAAACTGAGGCAAGAGAATCACTTGAACCTGAGTTGGAGGTTGCTGTGAGCTATGATGGTACAGCACTCTACCGAGGGTGACCCCTTGAAACTCTGTCTCGATAAATAAATAAATAAATAAATAAATAAACATTGTATATTTCCCCTGGGCCAATCCCTGAGAGGATAACTATTTTGACTCTTCATTGGTGAATTTATTTCTTAACTACACAAATTCCATGTCTCTGAAACACCCAATTTTTCTTTGTAGGAAGAAGAAATGTTTCGTCCAAATATGTTTTTCCTCCTCTTGCTTCCACCTATCATCTTCGAGTCTGGATATTCATTACACAAGGTAAGACTCAGGGACTTACCTACCTCTCTAAAGCTTCTCTAAGGTTTCTCACATTCATCAGGCAAGTTCGTTAAAAGCCTCGGTGTTAGATTAGTAGCAGTGGCTCTGTTCCTTCCTAGGCCTGCACAGTAGAACTGGACTGCAGTGCCTGACTTTGGACAGGAGCAGATGTGATCCAGTGGTTGCATTGATGGTTCAAGCATTTTGCCTCACTGACTTGGTGTTTTCCGTGGAGGGCTGCTTTGCCTAGCAAGACGGCCAGAGTGATTTAAAGTGACACAGGGATAGTGCATTGATTCCTCTTGTTGGACACAGACTGACACGTGTTAAGAGGACAGACTGTGGGCTTGGTGCCCGTAGCACAGTGGTTATGGTGCCGGCCACGTGCACTGAGGCTGGCGGGTTTGAACCCAGCCTCGGCCAGCTGAACACCAATGACAACTGCAACAAAAAAATAGCCAGGCATTGTGGCAGGCACCTGTAATCCCAGCTACTTGAGAGGCTGAGGCAAAAGAATCACTTAAGTTGGCTCAGAGCCTGTGGCTCAAGTGGCTAAGGTGCTGGCCACATACACCTAAGGTGGTGGGTTCGAATCCAGCCCGGGCCCGCCAAACAACAATGATGGCTGCAACCAAAAAAAAATAGCCAGGCATTGTGGCAGGTGCCTGTGGTCCCAGCTACTTGGGAGGTGGAGGCAGGAGA